GAGGCCAGAGTGGGAGAGATGGGAGGGGTGTCCTGTCCGTGAGGGGATGCAGGGGCAGGGGTATTGGAGGCAGGGTCTGTAATCAAAGTAGAAGTAGATACAGGAGGGATAAATGGGTTATTTGAGCTAGAAGCCAGAATAGGGGAGACTAGGGAATATTTAGTAAGGAGGTATTTAAGGTTTTGGATTTTCTCGAGTAGAGGAGAGTCAGTGGAAGGAGAGCGGGTGGTGGACTTAGAGCAGTGCTGGGGAGGGGGAAGATTGTGGCATGGAGAGGGAGTTCGAGTTGGAGAAAGGAGGGGAGCCAGGTTGGGCCCTGGAATGGAAGGCAAGGGAGAGTATAGCAAGGGGAGAGCATGGGGAGGACTTGGCTGTGCCTCAGGCTGGGGAGCAGGAGGAGGTTGGGGATGGGTCCTAATTGGAGGCTGTTCATCGGCTATTGTAGAATCAAAAGCTGAGGTGGAGGGGTAGGGAGGGGGTCAGAGGCCCCTGGTGGGCTGGGATCCCATGAAACTGTCTTAGCCAGAAGAACCTGATGGGAAGAACATGGGACTCAGAGGGAGGGATTAGCACGGAGATCAAAGGAAGCTTGGATGTATGGTAATTCGGACCATTTGCCTTTAAGATGGCAGAAACTTTCTAAATCTCTCAAAATATTGAAGTTTAAAGTTTCGGTGTCTGGCCAGAGTTATTATCTAACTCGTACTGAGGCCAGGCAATGGTGCACAGGAACTTCAGGCATTTTGGCCTGATCATATCCAAAAGTCTTACTTGTTTTAAGGATTTAAGAAGACAAGCAAGAGGTGTGAGACCCCAAGACTCTGAGTGTGTGGTTCCCATAGCAACAGATTAAGTACAGATTGAAGAAGAGATAGAGAAAAGATGGGAGACAAAGAAAATCCCCTCTCCATAGGGAGTGGAGGCAGGATCACGAGTCCAGGCAGGAAAGCGCAGCAGACAAGGAAGAGAGAGAGAGACCAGGAGGGAGTAGGCAAGGGGTTAGGCATTCGGTCATGCAAAATGAGAAAGGAGAACCAGGCATCAAAACAAAGCGTCCTTTTTTTGTGCGGGTTGGAGTTATTATTTTTGAGTTATTTCCAAGTCCCAGAAGGTGGTGTCTCATGATCACATCGTCAGGGAGAGGAAAGGTGAGATCCTGTCCTGGACAGGAAGTACTGCGTGTTCCTATCTCTGGAAATAGCATCCTATATCCAAAGAAAGGAAAGGGTTTTCCAACACGTGTGTGATTTCAAGGCAAGCGAGAGGAGCGGAAAACCCTGCAATGAGAGCGTGGCGTGACCAGCCAGTAGATGGAGACAAAGCACAAGGAATGGGATGGGAGAAAAGCAGAAAAAACGCAGTGAGCCAGAAGGGAGGGAAGTGTGTGGAACAAGTTGATCCTGAGGTTTAGTAGAGGCTGAGGGAAGATGAGCCCCAGAAGGGTGGTGGTTTAGTAGAGGTTTGGTAGAGCCCCAGAAGGGCAGTGGTGAGAGAGGGAGGGGGAGAGAGAGAAGGAGAGAGAGATATGTAGGGAGAGAGAGAGATTGGGAGAGAGGTGCTTAAAATTAATTTATATATTTTAGTATTAGGAGCTATGATGTAGATTAAAGAGAGAATATTTTGGCCTGAAAAAAATATGTTGGTGTTAATTTAACATTTTTAGTTTGCATGAGATTTTAGTTAAAAATTGATATGATACCAAGTAAATTCATTTTAAGAAGCATAAATTTATGTTGACTGTGTATACATACTTAATTATATAGGCTTTGTTGAGAATGTGGTTTATCATTTTTAAACCAAAACACCTTTGAAGTAGACAAACAAACTGAATACACCTTAGAACACCTTGAAAGTAAACTAAAAACAAAAATGGTATTTAACAAATAGGATTTTACCCAACCAGCTTAGATGTCATTTTGTGTAGGTAATTAGTGGTCTAAAGAAAGAGTTAAGTTTCCATATAGATTTGAGATAGCATCTTTTTCCTTTTTAAAAGCTAAATAACTCAAGGAAATGGATAAAACCTTGTAGGAGACAGGAAAGACAAAAGGAAACATTAATAGATTAGGTTAAGAATAAAGAAAATCTAAATAGTATTGACAATAATCCCATTAGTTAGTTTCATTATAGACAGTAATACCCTCTGTTGAAGTTAATTTACACCTTAGCTGTTCTCGACTGCATAGTGCCTTTACTCTCAGGCTGTTTTGTTGTTCTCCTTCTCCTTGTCACAGGGTCAGGGGGCCAGCCTGAACCTGGAAAAGTCTTGGAGAACACATCTTGAGATAATAGGCTTGAGTCTGAAGTGGGAGGGCCAATTCCATTTCTAGAGTCAGTGTCTCAGTGAGCTCAAACAGCACGTGACAATTTGCCAATATAATTAATACTACCCTGACATTGTAACTAGAAAGCACTCAGAGAATGATGGGGCAGGAACATAAGCAAACATAGAGCATCTGAGCATCAGAGAGGGAAATAGCTCTATTCCAGAGAAAAACAGGTTTAGAATCACAATGTAGAAAGGGGAGGAGTTAGGACCAGGAGAGATGGCATCTTAAGCCTCTCTCTCAAGTAGACTATTACTTTTTACCTCTCATTGTTATAACTATGCGTTGGGAGTAGCTTGTCTCTTGTAAGGTTTTGGCTCTGGAGTACAGCAAATTTTCATATGTTTTACAGGTCTAGTCATCACAAAGTGTCAGCTCCCTTTGCACCTTGAAGGCAAATAGCTAGAAGAATTTTAAGTTCCCTTTAGAAACTAACAAATATACTATGTAAAACAGTAAGAATTTAAAATAGTCATTTTTATAAATTAGCAAATACCATATAAAAGATGTTAAAATC